TTMAAAATAGAATAACAAGTACCTACCTAGTCAGTTATATCAAGTTATATCAATGAATTTAGGACTCGTAGGCAGTCAACTTACGAGGATAAAAGGGTAGACAGCGCCTGTATAGATCACTACTTAGTATAGTCAGTACCTATAATAGGTGAGCTCCCATTTCGCCGCCGTTTCATTTCGCCGAATTTATTTTTTAAGTAACTATTTTAAGTAAACTTAAGATTAAAAATTACATACTAATTAGTTATATTTATGTAAAAATAGTAATAATTAGGTATCTTATAAATTATAATATAGTCATAAATAAAAAAAATCAATATTTTCATAATAAAAGTAATCATAAAATAATATAAAAAAAAAGTTTTGTTAAAATAGTCACAATAATATAGTTAAATTATTCGTTATGTTTAATTAAATGACTAATATTGTCCAAATAGTMAATCCATTTCATCTGCGGAGAATCGCTCGTCACTCTTTCCTTAAGACTATACAAATTCTTTGTTCCAGCTTAACATATTTGTTGTAAATCCTTTTTATTTGTTTCTTCGTGTCTATTTATCACTTTTCAAATCACAAATTCATAACCATGTTTTAAGACAAAAATAATTTTATGCAGCAAAATGGGATTAATTTGGCCGCGAAATGGTACCAGTAAATTTGGTTTACCAATTTATCAACTATGGTCCTCTAAAGTTTGATAAACGTATTAATTCTTCAAATTGAAATAATTGATATAGCTATAAATGTATTTACAAGAGCTAAATAGTTTATTCTTTTAATCATCTTTTTATAATACACTTCTATCAGTTACCTATTTAATGACATGGTTCAAAAAAAAAATTCTGTATAAATGCCTACAAAATTGTTGATAAACAGTTCGTTAATTTTATTTTAGGGTGGAGGGGGGGTTGTAGTGGTCTGGCGAATTAAGGCATCGGTTGCTACGCGCATCGTCATCGGTTCGAATCCCGCAATCATGGGTGGCATCACTTTCCGAACAGTCCATGCTGTCTGGAAAGAGAGGCGCCGCCTCCCACCCGGGAATGACAGAAACCTACGGGTGCCCCCATTCGAAATTCTGCCAAAACATCTTCGAGTATACCAAAAACTAACAGTTCCCTATCCCACAGTTCCACAGGTTAATGGCTCTTGTCGGGCTTATTGTCGAAGCATCAAACCCCAATAAAAAAAAAAATATATTTTAACATACAATTATCAAAATCACCATTATTATTGTAATTTATTATTGCAAGTTATAATCGCAATTAATTATAATCACTTTATATTTGTTTCATCACACTTACATTTCTTACATAACCTAAAATAAATGTAAAACTGTCGATTCTTTATTAAGTGGCTAAGGTAATAATTGTATATTGGTATAATGGTGTTCGATGATTGACATTAACATGTCTTATGAATAACTCATGCATAGGTAAATCAAACCAATATTTTTGGAGGCACTCAAATCGTAAAGAATTTACAGTTTCCTAAAATTCTTTACAACGTGTATAGGTTTATTAGGTTTATTAACACATATATAAATATATTATATAATATTAATATATAAATATATTATATAATATTAATATATAAATATATTATAATATAATATATATATAATATATTATACTAAGTATATGTATATTTTGATATACTCGTAAATAATGAACCATCAGTTACAGATTAAAAGAATAAAATTGTTATAACTATTTCGACATAGTTTATCTGTCCAGTAAATAATATTAGTTTGAGTTACTGCTAGTTCAGGAAGACTTGGTTCACTTTCTTGATTGCCCAAATTAATAATGKCATAGCTATTATCTTTAATTAGTTGGAGACATTATAAATCGAACCGATTTTAATTAGAAGTAGAACATCTTGAACTGAATGATCTAGACAGTCAATTTCTTTTTAAGTATTTTTCATATTATTTTAAATATTTATGAATTGTTAGGTCTTTTTATTTGTTTAATGTTATTAACTATTATAGTATATAAGTAATGGCTAATGGATAAGTAATAACGATTATATAAATATTGAAATATTTAATTTACTATATCCCAATCTATATTACAGTGATAAAAATGTTTGTATTTATTGATAGGTAATATTTACTTAAAAATAATTTCTTACATATAATAGAAGTCTTTTATTTTTTGAGTAGTGCACAAATCTCTTTGTGCACCTCCCTAGTTGGGTCAATGTGTTGAAGGTCAACAAAAAATGTGTGTAACAAAAATAATAATTCAATATTTTTTGGTGCTCTTCCCGTGATACTAGAAGTTTGAAATATGAAACACTTAGGCTACTTTGCATATAGTAATTCCTAATAAGTAATAACTAATAAGCCATCTGGAAATTATCCTAAATTAGACACCCATAATTGTTTAATAATCATGTATTAAAGTAAGCCTTTTGCAAGATATTTAGATAGATAATCAGATAAATAGATAATATCAATATATATAAGTACCTAAATTAGGCGTATTTACCATTAGACAATAGACATAATAACTAGCTGTTGCCTGTTTTACCACATTTAAAAAAAATATTTTAGTAATTAGGTAATTATTTCGAGGATTAGGTACCTAGTTAGTAGTTACCTATATATAAATTCGAACAATAAGACCAACACGGCAACACCAAATAAAACCAAAATAATTATTTTCGCCTAAATAACATTTTCAATGCTTGTGATAAAACGATAAATTTAATGGGAAAACGTTAGTATATTATCTAGGCATTATTATAATAGAGTTGTTAATGTTTAGGAAATKAGATTATTTTCTTTTAAGTATATCGGTTATCAAAAACAAAAACACGGCGCTAGTGTACGTCCATGAAATTGGCCATTACACYTTTTTAAAACAAATGTTGCAAGTTATTAGCAAGAATTTGCAAGGCTGACCCCGGAATTCGCGAGTCAAAAACAAAGGAGTTATAAGGGGTAGAATTGGGGAAGGGCTAACTTCACCCAGCCCTTACATGTTCTCCAAAACTTTTGAAACTAGTGTCAAAACACTCTTTAAAAATAGCAAGAATTTGCAAGTCCACTCCCGAAATTTGCAAGTCAAAAACCTTACCCCTTCAAATTTTCAATGTTTTTAACCCAGCCTAGGGTTTATTTTTAAATGCRTTCTTACTTATTATTGATAAACAGTTATCTTATACTCAGAATAGGCTATACGCAATAAAACAATGAAAACTTTACTTTCATAGTTATTCTTAACATGTGATCATACCTATCTATTTAGTCATGTATTACCTTATAAGGTTAAAACTATTGTACATATTATTTTTCCCGTTTTAACTATTTTTAATTTTTATACTTTTATCGATATTATCGAATATCGGTCCATTTTATCTTAATTGGACTTCATGACGAGTGACGACTCTCACTTCTCTCTGTGTATGYGTATTCCCTTAGTGTGAATTAATTAAGTGTTGTTTAACTTAGAATTCCTAAATTTAATGTTAGTTATTGTTATATTGACAAATTTTTTTAAACCCAAAATGTTTAATATTGAAAATACTTATTGATCGACATGCCATGCTCAGAATTTAAATGATCAATCATTAGAGTTTTCTTTTTAAAATTAAGATTAATGCAACTATTAAATTTTGAAAAATGTGATTTTTCGAGAATAATATTTTCTAATTTGTGGACATTTTTTTWATGTCTCTCTAGTAAGTATTTCGTTGTAAAGGTTTTACTACAAATATCACAAGGAAAATCCGTTTGAAAAAAGAAATAACATATCGCAAATTAAAAAGAAGTTAAACACTAACTAATATTATAATATTAGTAATATAGATCAGATTTTAGCGTATCATAATCATCAGTGAGTATTSAGAAATTCCCTCTTATTACGTTTTTATAATCTTGCTTCAATCAATATGACATATGTTGGAAATAGAACATGTCTAAAYACTCTAAATTCCTATGTCATAAGCGTGTTAGGTGAAATGTGTTCTATTATCAGTCATCTTAAATAAAATAGCATCATAAAGATAGCTCAAGGCCTATTTGGGTAAGAATTGGTAAGTTTTGAATACCATACCATAATAATGTATTTATTCAAAATTTTAGTTTGCCGCTTAAATTACTGATATCGATAATTGATAATCAACATGTTATCAGCTAATATCTACGTTATGCTGACGATACCATATTGCGCATGCGCACCACGAGCGGCGTATTCCTGTATTTAAACTTAAACGCTCATCTGTCCAGTGACGCAACTAGGATCTATTTTCGGGAGGGGTTATACATATAAAAAATAAATTAGCAAAAAAAAAAAGTCTTCACTTATTGAAGTGTCTTCACTTTGAAATATTTGACTTTTAAAAACATTTCCCAACACACAAAACACAACCCCCAAACCCCACCCCTGGTTGCGCCACTGCATCTGTCCATATCCCTCGGTGCGCAAATTTACTACTCTGGGGCGCAAATAGGCTGTAGCCGGTTATTGTACCCCAACCGCGTCGGCCGTCGGGATATACCTATGTCCTATGGTGACCAGATAATAGATATTAAAAAAGAATAAACGGTACTTTATAATGTAGGCTAATACATTATGTGTATATATTTATCAATATAATTACCCAACAATATAACATCAATTTAAACTCATTTATTTATTTTTAAACAWAAATATGCATCACATATTTTTAATCTTACTAACAGTGAAAAATAAAATATAATGTGTTTTTATATGACTCAACCCGTGTGATTTTCATGAAAAACAAAACTTACAATAATAAATGCTTAATAAAAAACAACTTTAGAACTTAGATTATTATTATTATTAGATAGTATCTAAAGCCGTGATTACAACACAGATATAAAATACTAGATAGCCTGTTAACTTGTCTACATAATCAGGATATGGGATGTTGAAGTCAGCCGACAGCCACCACATTATGCGTGTGGGTCAATGTTTATATAATTGTCTTATCAATACGGCGTAATGTAAACGACGAATACTATCATGTTATCGTATTCGGCGACTGGCGTTTGCATTTCGCACAGAATAAAATCGCATTTAATTGAAATTGTTTAAAGATTTGTTCGTAATCTTAAATTTATTCTATATTTTATACCATTATTTGCTTCAATAGTTCAATAATGCCTGCTACCTGTTCTGCACATGGCTGCACAAATCGTGCTCAAGCGGGCTCTGGTTTACATTTTTTCAGGTAAGTATTTATGTAAAATACGTTTTAAATTTTATCTACGTTTAGTTTTAACATTGTTCTTTAGTTTCTTTGTGTTCTTTATTTTTGTAGCTTTTAACTGTCTTAATTGCATGTATTATTATTTTCTATAGATTTCCAATGAATGATCAACACAAATTAGAATTGTGGGTTAAKGCAGTTGGCCGTAAAGGTTTTATACCCAATAAAAATAGTAGGTTATGTCATGAACATTTCAATACTACAGATTTTTATCAAAATCCTGGCGGGAGCTACAAATTGAGATTAAAAAGTGATGCTGTTCCATCAATTTTTCAACTGTCAATTCATTCGACATTAATTCCTACCAAACTATTCTGTAATGGACCACCTCTAAAAAAAAAGAGATCAGATAATCCTGCGACAGAATTATGTACTATAAGTGATGAAACATGTGAGTAATGTAGTAGGTACTCATGTACTAACTGAATATTTAAGCATTGATTGTTTGTTATTATTATTATATAAATCTTGTTTAAGCTGAATGAAAACATAATTTATTATTCTTATTATCTTAAAGATCTAAAAACTGAAGATTTAGTTGTTGAAGAAATTGTTGACAATGATTTTGAATTTGAACAAGCTATACCACTGTTAACAACACCATGTTATGCTTCGTGTTCTCTCATTAATGATACAAGTAAGTCACCAAATATTCTTGATCCATCTATAATTATTGTTTTACTTAGGTACCTATATAGAAATAACTAATCTTGATTTTTTCTAATCAATGAATCATTATTTGGCAAATTATGATTTAATATTTTTCATCTCTAAGTTTAATATTTATTTATAAAAATGAAAAAAGAATGTATTATTTTTATTATAGTTACTTAACTGTTGATATAAATTAATTTATTATTAGGTATATAAATAATTAAATGGAAATAAAATGTTTCTATTATTCTTATTATCTTAAAGATCTAACAAGTGAATATCAAGATTTAGTTATTGAAGAAGTTGTTGATGATGCATTTGAACAAACTAAAGTGTTATTAAGAACACCATCTAAATTTAAATGTAAAAATAGAATAATGTACACAGCATCTCCACAAAAATGTATTGCTAAGTCAACTCCTACCAAGTTAAATAAGAAAATTAAGTTATTGCAGCAAAAAATCAGGAGACAAAACAAAGTTATTAATAAGTTAAAAGACTTATTAAAAAATTTAACAAATCAAGGTATGCTAAATTCAGAATATGAAGATATTTTGTTAGATAAGTTTGATGGAATGTCAGCAGAACTATTTAAGAACCAGCTTAGAAACTTAAGGCTTAATGTAAGGCTAAAGGTCGACGCTATAGCACTAATATAAAAGAATTTCCGCTTACGTTTCATAATTATTCGCCTAAAGCTTATGTATTTTGCCAGTTAGTTGGTAACACACTGCTTAGTACTTATTATAGTAAAATATTATATATTATATATTATTAATTCATAATTCTTTATGTATTTTCTAGATMCATCCTAAGGTTGCCTCATATATCAGCTATACAAAACTGGACCAGCTCAATCAATGGAAACCCTGGATTTTTAATTGAAGTTTGTCATGTCTTAAAAATTTACCAAMAGTTGATAAAGATTGCAATTTAGTGTTTGATGTAATTTCCATAAAGAAACAAATTGTATGGGACAAACAACTTGATAAATTTGTTGGTTTCTCTGATTATGGAAATGAATTAGATTTAGAAGGAAATAATACGCCAGCAACTGAGGTCTTAGTTTTCATGTTAGTCAGCTTGAATGGGAAATGGAAATGTTCTGTAGGTTATTTCTTTCAAAATAAAATAAATAGTTCAACTCAAGCAGAGCTTATAAAAACAGCTTTAACAGTCGCACATGATTCAGGTCTTAGAGTTTGGGGTATAACATGTGACGGGGCATTTGTTAATTTTTCAACAATGAACATTTTAGAATGTAAGTTTGAAAATGTAAATGCTTATGTTAATATAAAATGTTGGATTGATCATCCTGTTACACTTTGGGAAATGCAAGAGTATTATTCGAAAGAACAATTAATTGGAATTATTTTGAAAAATTATACGAAGTTCAAACAAATCTTACATTAAAGTTAGCCAATAAAATAAATCAAAATCAAATTATGAGGCATCAGAATAAAATGAAGGTTAAGTTGGCGGCACAAATGTTAAGTAGTTCTACAGCAGACGCATTACTTTTTAAAAAGATATTTGTATGCAAGGGTTTCAAAATGTAGATGCAACAGTTAAATTTTGTCGAACTTTAGATCATATTTTTGATTTTTAAACTCCAGAAATCCTTTTGGTAAAGGAGTTAAATGCCTCATTACCTCTTCAAACATTTCAAATTTAGAGTCTGTTATTATACCATTAGTAAACTATCTATTTGCGTTTAAAGTAAAAAATAAAAATAACACTGTAAGTTTTAAATAGCTAACTGCTAAATAATCATTTGTAATTGGTTTTGCAGTAACAATTAAGTCATTATTTTCAATAGCTAAGTTAATATTTAATCAAAATCCAATTTATAAATATATATTAACTTATAAGTTCTCACAGGATCATATTGAAATATTCATTTCCATTAGCATCCAATCACTACTTTTAAGTCAAACTTCTATTGATCATGCTTATCCTGTACCTCAGTTGTTTACTAAATTAACTTCTTTAAAAAACCTTGGTGGCTTATTTTTATCTTCAGAGAGTTCATATAAAGTAATTATAGAGACAGAGAAATACTATTTGTATTTAACTAATAACTTAAAACAGATCATTGTACCCGATTTACCTAATAAATTTGAATTGAATTTTAGTATTTTTAATAGCTTAAATTATGAAAATGTGGGTTTATTAGACAGGCATCATAAAATATTTTTAATCACCTATCTTATAAAGAGATTTTTAAGCGTTAGATTGCAATMATATGGTAAACAATTTTTTATGGTCAGTCAAAGACAGAAATTAACAAAAACAATATTATTTTATAATCAGTAATGTATATTAATATGATAATAATATGTATTGTATATTTTGTATACTTGTTTAAAGTTTTAGCCACTATTTTATGCAATATTTGTATTTTGTTTTTCTCTTTTTTCTTTTTATTTTGGTTTGTTCTGTGGTTATATAATAAAATATACAAACATATGCATTTCTTTAAAAAAAATGTTTTTTATACTGACATAATATCCATAGCCAGAATAATATTATATAAACATGTTTTATATTATATTATTATTATATTTTGTGGCGATAATATAATATAATAATAATTATAAATCAAATACCATAAGATTGTTATCATGTTGTGTTGATAAGACAATTATGTAAATATTGACCTACAGTCTACACGCAAAAGGCAACTTCAATGTTCGTTGTCTTGTAAATTGTTAGCTATATAGTATTTTATATCTGTGGATTAGAATATTAACACATATCACGGAAAAAAAAGCCACAGGAAAAATAATTCACAGAAAAAAATAGCGGGTAAGTGGGTATCGCTCTGCTGTACATTAGGGGGTGGGGTGGACCTCTGACTATGGTAGGTTAAACTTGAATGCAATGATAGCAGGGGCGAACGCAGGAAAAAATTTCAGGGGGGGTTTTGAAAAAATTTAAAGTAGGTATTCATAAATATCATATTATTCATACTGTATTACACTTTTTTATAATTTATTTTAGTCACTTATACTATACTATATACATAAATACATAATACATATATAATATACATAATACATAATAATATAATATAGATAATAATTAATAACTAATTATTACAATTTGTAGGTTAGTTGTAGGACGTAGTGAAAGACAGCAATTACACATTTACACTCGTCGTCTGTCTACATTACGTACATCATCGGATTGGCGGCCTTCGATGTCSATCAGTTATTAATAAGTTATAACATACTGTCATACTCACTTCGAAACTGCATTACCTATCATACATTTTATTGGTGATTTTACTGTATCCATTAATTTACAAACCACAGGAGAAGGGAAACTTTTTAATAACTAACATAGGCGGCTCCAGGAATGAATCTCAGGTGCAGCCATATGTTAAAATTTAAAGGGGGGGGGGAGTCTTGAAACTTCTACAAATTAAAATTTTTTTACAGAAAAAAGAAATACTAATAATTAGTTATATTGGTTAATAAGGCCTTCGGTCAAGACTCTGCAGGTCACTTTACTATGAGTAATGCTACTTGCTAGCCACCCTCACTAACTATTCAACCAATTATGTCCACCTATACTGGAATTATTTGTATTTACACACACACACAAACATATCATAAATGTATTCCATATAAATTTCCTTTTGGGATTTTTTATTTTATTAGTTATAAATTATAAAAAATTGTTCATACAAGACAAAATAAAATACAAAAAAATATTATATTATGAGTTAAAAAACTTAAATTTTAAAACTTAACATTAAGTATTCAGTATTCTAAAAAAAATAATCCAATAAGTAATAAATTATAAAACCATTCGACGTGTCGTATCATTTAAAGTTTTGAACTCTTCAATAACATMATCAATATTCACTGAGTTTGTTTTCTCTYGTTCAACMAACACATTASTAACTATAATCAATGACCCATGGTTTTACTCATGGTTAGGTTTCTAGATCACCGTATATAATATACCTATTATTATATATTATACAAGACATAACATATTAGAATACCACCTCTATCGGCTCTATCTACTCCATGTATCCGAGCGCTTGTGTAGATAACATGTTACACTATCGATCACGGAAAAACCATGTAAACAATTAAAGTCAATAATATTGTACGCAGCATCGCAGCATAGTAATGATTAGTAATTGTAAGGGTAATCGTTATACCTTACATGATACGCAGTATATACCATATATATTTATTTACTGTGAGAGTACGCAAGGTTTATATTATCTATAAACCTTAGAAAGTACTTACCGCCAATATGACTTAAGAGTTAACATTGATAATTTTTCAAATTTGGCATTGGCAGAATTTTCGATGAAAATTTTAATTTGTATGTTACAATGTTATATTTTATTTCCATTTGCTAATTATTATATAACCCCATGGTAAAATTTTTGCGGCGGCTGAAATGTCAAATGCAGCCAAGGCTGCAGTGGCTGCAYCCGTAAAACCGCCTATGATAACTAATAATTTATTTTAATTTTTTTGAAATGTTATTAGTAATACACTAATACATTTGTAGGTCAGATAATTTATTTTTTGTACCTACTATTTCGGGGGGTGTTTAAACCCCTACCCCCCTGCGTTCGCCCCTGACACCAAGTATAGTTTTTATTGGCGCCACTGCCTGTTATGTCCGGACGTCCATTATTTATCAGTAA